ACTGCTATTGACCGGTAGTTGGCTGGGTCTGAGCGATCCCTCGGTCGCCTCCTCCCCAATGTGGGGGGGCCGAAGGCGAAGTGCCGTCGGCTTTATCACTCCGTGATAAAGTCGATGGCGCTGTACGGGGCCCCGGTCTGGGCGGAGTGCCTCTCGTCCCGCACGAGGGCCCTCCTGCGAAGACCGCAGAGGGTCATCGCGACCCGGGCCGTGCGGGCTTACCGCACGGTCAGCCACGGGGCTGCCTGCGTCCTAGCAGGCACGCTCCCGTGGGAGATTGATGCCGTGGTACTGTCCCAGGTGCATCAACACCGGGTCGCGGCGAGAGAGCGGGGCGAGCGACCCGTTCTAGAGGAGATAGAATGGGTCCGCACCGAGGCGCAGAGGGAGGCTCTGCGCCGATGGGTGGAGGCACTCGCCAACCCAGCCGCTGGCCACCGGACGATCGAGGCGATTCGTCCGGTGTTGGAGGAGTGCGTAGGGCGCCAGCGGGGCACCCTCACCTACCGCCTGGTGCAGATACTGACCGGACATGGGTGCTTCGGTCACTACCTGCACCGAGTCGCCCGTCGGGAGGAGACGCCGCAGTGTCATCACTGCGCCTCTCCCGACGACACGGCCGAGCACACGTTGATCGTGTGCCCGGCCTGGCGAAATGAGCGCCGCGATCTGATCGCGGCGCTCGGCGGAGGAGGCCTCACGCTGCCAAGTATGGTAAGAGCCATGCTTGGTAGCGAGAGAGCCTGGAGGGTTGCCGCCTCCTTCTGCGAATCGGTGATGACGCAGAAGGAGGCAGCGGAGAGGGAGCGGGAGGAGGACGCTCTAGCCCCCCCTCTCCGGCGTAGACGGGTGGGCCGAAGAAGGCAGGCAGCGGTGACTGCCGGTCTTCGACGGCCCTAAGGTGGTCTGGGCGCGGCCTGACCAGCCGCGCGTCCTAGGTGCCGCTCCGGCATAGGCCACCACGTCTGGGGACTGCCTAGTACCCTAGCGCAGTCCCCCTGAGGCGCGTCGCCCGGTCCACTCGTTGGGCCGGGCCTGCCCGGGGGCGTGCTGGGAGATGTGGCGCACGCAGGTGCGTCGGCCCCGAGACCGCCCCCATATGGGCGTAGGAGGGTACCGGGGGGTTTTAGTGGAGTAGGATCAGTGTGGCCTTCCGCACTGGTCCTGCTTGAGTAGGGTCGGCACTGTTTCCCGTGCCGGCGAGTCCCACACACGCCGTGCGCCTAGTCAGCGTCAGGGTATGGTGCGTAACTGCATTTCCCCTCGTCACAAAGAAAAAAAAGGGTCTGAGCGATCCCCTTTTTTAGGCACCGGTTGCACGTTGTCATCTCTCGTAAGTCCCCAGCACACGCCCAAAGAATACGAGCATTGGTACAAGTGCGTGAGCACGGGTGACAACTCCGCTGCACATTTTTTCAGTACTACTGCTGGGATGCCATCAGGTCCACTAGCTTTCCATACGTCGAGTAACTGCAATTCAGCGCGAACCTCACGCTGCCTGATTTTAATATCAGGCATCGTTATGCCACAAAAAGGTTAGGATGGTGGCAGTGCAATGCAATATTCGATTCAGGAGTTAGCCGCAAAGAGTTTTGCCAGTAAATCAGCTTTCTCCTGTGGTTTATGAACAAGTGTCCTGCACGGCCTTGGCCAAACGCCAGTAGCTACGGGAGCTCGTAGGATGCGTTATAAGTTCCTGACCAACACGTGCAACGCGCTGGGCATCCGCTCTGATGTAAGCCTTCTTACAGGCTTTGGAAGCAAAATTGTAGGCTGCTTTGAGTGAATCGACCCTGGGATCCTTAAGAGCGCGACCTCTGATCCAAGCACGATATGTCACTTGCTTACGCGAAGCAGCTTCAGCACAGTCGTGATTGAACCAGAACGGTGTGCCCTTACTGATGAGATCAGAATGAGGAATGTAGTATTCCACACCCATTATAATCTCCTCAGTAATGGCAACGGCGCTGGCCGATGGATCCCTGTCACTGAAGCAGTGCTGCTTCCAAGGGACGGAAGCAAAGTAGTCACGCATACCGTCCCAATCTGCCGACCCACAATGCCAGTTACGGCGTTTGACCACCACTGGACGCGGAGGCTTTGCCTGTGGTGCTTTGGCAGATACCAGGCAGTGATCTGACGAGCCCAGGGGGGCTCTTACCACAACCTGATAGCCCTGTGGATGGGTCGTGAGCAGAAGGTCTAGTTAAGAAGGCTTGCAATATCTGGGATCCTGGTGGGCTGATCAACCAGTTGCTTCAAGAGCATTAAAGTCCCCCAAAAACACCAATTCTGCATTGGGAAATTCATCTGCTGCCCGACTAAGGTGCTCAAAAAGTCTAGTTGTCTCAACATCGCCAGTGTGGGATCTGTAGAGGCACACGTAGACTGGCCAGGGGACTAGAGTCGACGTGTACCCCCAGCATGGAGAAGGCGGGATTTTCCAAGCAGCGGAGACGGCGACAACAAACATCCGCCCGAATATACAGGCATACACCGGCTTTCGCTTCGAAGGACTCTTCAAGCACGTAGCCGAGATAATTGAGGTAGCCTGTGTCAGCAGGCGGAAGAATTTGTGTTTCCGTCAGGAACAACAGCGCTGGCCGTGCTGTCTCAAGATGGTGGTGGACAGCGTTGAGGTTATAGTGGAGTCCGCGTATGTTGCCGAACTCGACCTCAAACAGCGTTGAAGTCGAGAGGGTATGCACCAAGAGATGAAACGAGCGGACGTTGTCGCGACAAATGCCGGTGACAGGACCGGGCAAATGCCCGGTCCTGTCACAGGAAGATTTGTTTCCCAGAATGACTGCTTGCAGAGGATATGCGCCGACCCACCAGACGGTAGAACCTCCGCACCCTCCCCTAAGTGGCCGCCGGTACCCCTCGCCTCGGTCACCAACCGGCACGACGGTCCACCCCGAGATTATGCGTGACATGATGGGGCAGCCTCGCGAACTGGTTAGGAACGCTCGGGCCCTTGTACTGTGCCATGTTCGGGTAGCGGAACAACCGTTTCTACGGGTCTCCCTGTCCGGCGGGTCAATGCCATCCTCCCGACATCGGTCACGGCAACCCCCACTCGAGCTCTGGTTATACGCTGGCTGACCCCGAAACGCTCGAGAAGTACTTCTTTGGTTTTTCACCATGCGAACGGTGGTAACAAACCATGCGGGTGTTAGGCACCCTACCACCAAAAGAGCGAATGGAAGCTCCGATATCCCTTAGTCGCCTCTTACGACACCCACGGGAAGAGAAGGGGCGGTGAGTAGTATTCTTTCTCCGTCATCGCACGGATAAAAAAGGAAAAATCCGTATACAAAACTCTTCATGTGATTAGTATAAAACGAGATTTCAAGTATTAAGTAGTATAAACCAATAGAAAAATATCGCTGTGCCTGCTCATATAGGGCGCAATCGACGCATTTATGCAGAAATAAATAACAATAAATAAATATTTCCAACACTCACACCAATTAGCCTAGCCCCAAAGTAAGCACTGTAAGGCTTGTGTTATGGGATGCTAGGATAACGGATAGAATACATATACTGTACATATATAAGTAAATTTATATAGAAATACATTTTAAACATCCATGACTGGAGTACAAATGCTCGTATTCATCACACAAACATCTGCCCCCACCGGGATTCGAACCCGGGACCTCTCGAGTCGGCGACACCGTGAAACCGTACAAACCATTCGGCCACGGAGGTCGAAATCAACTAATACAGCTAAGTGACACTGAACACAAAGCGACTTTCAATGAGCAATTTGAGTATGAACGCCACATAGCTGTTTTGACAGTCTGGGCGTATCAAAAAAGTCTTTAGAATTAACTAATAACCACAAAATCGTCAAAAAATCACATAGCTACTTTTGTAGGCGCAGCGACGATATACTGCTTCATATATAAGTGTATTTATATAGAAAATACATATAAAACATCCATGACTGGAGTACAAATGCTGGGATTCATGGTGTCGAGTTGGCGACACCATGAAACCCGGTGTACATACTACTCGGCCACGGAGGTCAACATATTGTTGCTCATGTGTCTTTGAAAGTGTATAAAAATAAATTACTGCCAGCCAACGATATTAAATACCCTACATATACCACGTGCGCTCAAAATGTGTCCCAATCAAGAAGTGCTTGAACACGACTCAAGCACTTCTTGATTCACAGTCACGCGCGGACCGTTGTAAGTCAACATGCCGCTAAGCCCCGTGAAAACAGGCGAAAGAAATATATAAAGATTGGAAAATGACGTTTTTTCGACAGGTATCTAATCAATGTTTGTTAATTTAACGCATTTAAAGTAAATTTTGTTTTAATACTTCCTATAAACTGATTTAATAGATAATATTTATGATATTCAAATTCATGGTCGATAATATAGCTGTCTCTTTTCCTCGCGGACCGTAACTGCTATATTACTAACAGCGCATTCAGAATTGCGCGTACAGTCAAAGAAATAAGGTCTTTATTCTTCTGCATATAGCAATAATTCGTATAATTTTACAAGCTTACATATCGGACTGTCATAACTCTATGACGTGTGCGTTTTAATTAAGACCTTATACAGTATGCTTTAAAGGTGATTTTCAATGTTTAAACAATGCCTTATATTGTTTAGACTACGCGATCATCTTACGGAACTCCGTGGATCGTCTAATGTACCTTGTGGACAGGTTTCGGGCATGACTTTGTTCGTGTTGGTGTATCTAGGGTTTTTAATATCGTTGCTGGCAGCATACAGAGCTTAGTGATTATTTCAGTCAGTGTAAGTGCTGTGTCAATATATCTATAGATATTGGTGTCAATAATTCTGACGTGATTCCCTAAACTTAAAACTTTTAACATCAGGCTCTCCTTTTCATTTTGTATAGAGAATAACAAAGATATACTTTAAGTTTAGGTTTAGATAATCATGCCAGAATCGACACCATTGTTTAGTATTATAACACACAATATATATATTTTTTTTTTGATATTTCAGAACTGGCTCCATTTATTTTGAATTATGAGCCCTGTAGAAAGTATTCCCGTTGCTGTATTAAATTGTGTAGATGATTATGTCGAGTTACTGTATGATGATATTCCAGAAAAAATCAAAGGCTCAGCCCTGATATTACAATTAGCAAGAAACCCTGACAATTTAATAGAACTATCTAGGAATGGTAAGGCCTGTATTAAATGAAGTGTTACTGTCAATTAATGAAAAAGAAAAGCCACCTTTTTGTGTTACTTTTAAGTAAATTAGGGTTCCGTAGCCAAATGGCAAAAAAACGAAACCTCTTGATGAATCGTCATGTCGGTCCGTCTGTCCGTCCGTATGTCACAGTAATTTTTTTCCGAAGCTATAAGAACTATACTGTTGAAACTTGGTAAATAGATGTTTTCTGTGAACCGCATTCAGATTTTCACACAAAAATAGAAAAAAAAACAATCATCAAACCCATACCTGTGGGGTATCCATGGATAGGTCTTCAAAAATGATGTAGAGGTTTATAATTTTTTTTTTCTAAACTGAATAGTTTTCGCGAGAGACACTTCCAAAATGGTAAAATGTGTGTGTGTCCCCTGTGACTTCTAAAATAAGAGAATGATGAAACTAAAAAAATATATGATGTACACAATGACGTGACATCAATATCAAAGGGAAGTTTCCAACACACCTCCCTTTGCCGATGATATAGTACTTATGGCTTAGACCTAGGAAAATCGGAACACAACGCTCGAAGATCTCTCCAAAGAAGTGGGTCCAAAGATGAACACGGAGAAGATATAAATAATTTCAGATGTCCATGTTGTACCCGCTCTAGTTACATTTGGAAACACTGCACTCAAAGTTGTCGACTTTAAACGTCTTAAAAAAAGTTTGGTCTATCTTCTCTGTAGCAAACAAATGTGGCATTATAATTTTTAGACTGGGTTTTTACTTAAGTCAATAATTTGCAATAAGGGGGACAGAGGACAATGTGCTTAAGTCTGAATCTACCTAGAGATAGCATTGTATCTAAAACTGCTGGTCTACAACTCAGAATTACAATTTAATCGAATACATTATGAAATTCTAAAGGGGTTAGAATTTTAAATGATTTATATATTTAAGCACATTTGTAAAACGTTATTAGAATACTGTATTCAAAACTCTGATTTTATTCTGATTTTAGAAGCTTTATTAAGTGCTTTATCAAGAGTCCTGAGAGAAGAGTGGAAAAGAAGTATTGAATTGAGTACAAATATTGTTTACACATTCTTTTGTTTTTCTACATATAATGAGTTCCATCCAGTTATCATTCAATATAAAATAGGATCTCTTTGCATGGATGTCATAGACTATGAACTCAAAAGGTATGATCAATGGAAAGAAAAGGTGGAAGGAAAGAAGCCACTGTTAACTCCAGACAAGGCAAGTATTAAAATTAATAAACAAACTAAACCAAACCAAATCAACCAAATTTTCTGGGTCATTCGACCATGCATAATATCAAAAATCATAGAGAATGACTCATTAATGGAGCTGAGAAAAAATACTAATATTAAAAACTCCTTCTTAAATTAGGTTATTAGTTATCTCATAACTTTTTTATATTTCTATTAGCTATTAGATAGGTAGGTACTGCTTTTGGCTGTGGGATGGGAAAAAATGTAGACAAGAAACTCCATACGGACTTCATTCTTGCTGCTGCCTCCCTAGATAGATCCCTAGGTAAACAAATACATGCTTACCTTACTTCATAACTTATCACGGTTTTTTTTATATCAAGTGATTTTTCTTAAATGAGTTAATAAAAAATCATTTTATTAATGAATTAGTGGGTACCCGCGACTTGGTCTGCGTGCAAATATTTGTTTCCCATACAAACATTGTACCCCCGTTTTATCCTTTAGGACTTTCTTCTTCTTTCTCCTTTCTTTTTCTTTCTTAGCGCACGCTGCATCATAATAGTTATACGTGTGCCAGATTTCAGCGCAATCCGTTCAGAGGTTTAAGTTGTGCTTTGATAGATCTGTCAGTCCGTAACGGTTACCTTTATATGCTATACAGAAGAAGAAGATAATATCAGTAACTTTGATGTGGTGCTCAGGAATAAGTAGGCAAAATAAGTTTCAGAACTTCTGGTTTAAATAATGCAATGGATTAGATAATTTACTATCTTACAGAGTGAATTGCCAAAGAGTCGTATTCCTGAACCAAAACGACGACCAAAATCAGGGACATGGGCTGTAGCAGATGTCAATATGCAAAAATCTCGAACTCTAGTATCTAGTTATCATGAAGATTTATGTAATATATCTGATGAGAGCCTGTCTAAAACTGACGAAGAACAAATGAAAAGAAAACTAAAAACACTTTCTAAGAGACAAGAACAGCTGCTTCGGGTTGCATTTTATATGCTGCTAAATATTGCAGACAACATTAAAGTGGAAGAAAAAATGCATAAAAAAGATATAGTGGGCTTGCTCATTGGTGCAATGGAAAGACATTCAAATATTGATTTGCTTATTCTAATAGTTTCATTCTTACAAAAGCTATCTATTTTCGTAGAAAATAAAAATAGCATGGCTTCAAGAGGCATTGTAGAAAAATTAGCACCTCTATTAGCCTCCCCTAATGCAGACTTAGTCAATGTTACACTAAAGCTTCTATTTAATTTAACTTTTGACACAAAGCTGCGCAGTAAAATGGTTAAAATGGGCTTACTTCCAAAATTTATACAATTTACAAGTAAGGGCAATTCTTAAATTTGCATATTACTCTATAAAATATGGTGCTTCCTATTATAATAATTGTTGTTTGGTATTTCAGGTGATGATAAACATATAACTTTAGCAATGAAAATTTTGTATCATTTGAGCATGGATGACAGAGTGAAATTAATGTTCACTCAATCAGACTGTGTAAAATTAGTAAGTTCTCATACCTATTGTTAGTAATCATAATTATTTTGAACTGCACATGAGAGAAATTAATATGAATGAGTTTCTTATTCCTACTGCATACCTGAAAGTAGACAAAATAATGTTTTCGTAAAGTGTAAATTTGAAGCACGCCCCCGACTGCAGATGCAGACTGCAGTCTGCACTTGTAGAAACTACGTGCATTAGGGAATATGATGGGGTAACGGAAACGAAGATAACTTAACTTCTATTTGGTCCGTCAGTTATGTTATAAAAAATAATTGTCATATTTTTTCTTTTGAAAATCAACCCAAAAATTAAAAAGATTAAGTGCGTCAAACTTTTAGTGAGACTTGTGAGCTTGTGACGTCACATATTATCAAATCTTTTACCAACATATGACGTCATGCGACATTTCAAATCAGAATATCTCTGTAATGTTGTGATTTTGTGAAAAAATAAAAACTACGTGGCCAATACTTTTTGATAATCTACGTGATATGTGAAGAAAAAGTTAATCATCTCTTATCTATTAGACAAGTCCGTCCGTCTGTGGTGCTGTTTCAGCGGCCAAACCGTACGAGATAGATAAAGAGAATATTTAAGTTATAAGTTAAGAATAGTCTGATAAGACTACAAACCGGATTTGAGTAACTTAGCACTTCCGGTTTTCGAGAAATCATGTTTTGGTGAACATTTGGTTCACTGGTTTGCTAGTTATTCCTATTCCTGTTTTTTTTGTAAAGAATTCTCTTCAAATTCAAAGTCTCGATCGCATCTCGTTTCAGAATAGCAACTTTGATGTGTACTGTTTTCCATTTTAGCTTACCGATATGTTGCTGCTGAACGTGAATAGCGATAGTAACACTTCAAACGGTCCCGGAGTGACTGATGTATTGCTAGCGTTATGCGTAAACTTGGCGTGGTGCGAGCGCGCAGCGCAACAGATGGCCGCTGAAGGCAGACTGCGCGAATTACTGGCGCGAGCCTTCCGCCATAGGAATACTATGCTTATGAAGCTCGTCCGCAATTTGTCGCACCATGCGCAAAACAAACCACTCTTCGTGGTGAGTAAGAGCTTCGAAGATTTTAGAAATATTTTTTTGAGTATTTGGCAACTCTTGTAGCAATTTTCGCTCTCACCAGACAACTCAGGGGTTTTTGCATGAAACTCAAGACTAAATTTTATACTCAGGGCGCCGAAATACTGATATTTGTGGGAGTTAAATAAAAATCTATAACTGCAGTAAACAAGATATATATATATATATATATATATTGTCAATATTCAGATAAATTTTTCAACATACATTGACACTCTTAATACTATTTATGGTTATCTTTGTATATCTATGTATATTTAGCTTTCACAAAATCAAGGATTAAGAATTAAAGGAAGTACATATAATCAATAACATTTTTAGATGTTGATATCTTTAAGTTAACATACTACATGAACATTTGATTTAACAAACTGACAAACAATGTGATGTGAAATACAAGTTACTTATTTAATGACTTTACAATATACCATTTTAAATCCTTTGTTAAGTTCTAAAATACAGAATTTTTGCTAATCGGAGAATGCACTGATTAAGAATTAAATATATACAGATTTTACTTAGCTTTTTCTTTAAGATCTTGGTACCATCAAGTAGACTCAAAGGTCCTCACGAATGAATCAGGACCTGCTGTCATCACATGAACACGTTTACTTTCCAGGATTCAATTTACAGGCTCAATTTCATATAGCGTACTTCTTTATATATTTCCAAAGAAATTCCGAGCAGATCTAATCAATTGATTTTTGGTATAGAAATTTTATTAGCTTCCTCAAAGGACCCGTTAATCCGGGGATAAATACTTATTCAAATTTAACAATCCACTGACTATAACTGCCTGTCACTGTGCAATTAAGTAGATGTTCCAGAGTTCGATCAGCAAAAAGAGACCTAATTCGGCTGCGCACAGCTATTTATAGTGGTACTAGCTGACCCAGCGAACTTCGTACCGCCATAAAAAAATTTAACTAAAAAAACATTGTCCAGCGGACAAAATTGTGAATCTAAACCATTCTCAGATCCCATTGAACACACACAAAAAATTTCATCAAAATCGGTCCAGTCGTTTAAAAGAAGTTCAGTGACATACACACTCACAGAAGAATTATATATATAAAGATATGGTCACGTGTTAACTGGCTTAGGATTGCGCTTCTATTTCCTTATAAGGAACGCAAAATCACTAAAACCAGTTAAACAGAACACGCCTCTCGAAATTTCATCTAGAACATTCATGCGACGTCATATCCAGTCTTGTAAATTAATCGACAGAAATCATACACTAACTCCATCTATCACACATCCCAAACATATCTACCAGGTTCACTAAGTTTACACACGTCTCCTGCTTATTTAAGCGGCATACAATATTCGATGATTTATGTGCATGACGATAGATGGCGCTATTAACAAATAATAATATTAGTAAAAATTATTTATAAAATTATGATGCTACACTCTTAGCATAATAAATAGTAAAGCATAATAAGCAGTAAATTTATAGGTATTTCTGGGGTCCTAATTATATAACTTTTATATGATATTTGGGAAAGATATTAGTTTTATTTTACATTGTCAGTCGCTTTAACTTTGATCAAAATTTTAAGGAATTTGTCGGTGATATCGCTGGTGCGGTAACAAGTGATGATGCTCCTGAAGAATTCATCATTGAATGTATCGGCACTCTCAGTAATATTTTAATTATTAACAACAACATAGATGTGTATGCTGTTGTAGAGAGATACAATTTGATACCGTGCATCATGAAAATATTAGATCCAGGTTTGTTTTTCAAATTATTATAATTTATTTAATAAATAGTAACTGCAACTTAAAAAAAATCTTGAAAAACTTAATATTTTCACCAAATCTAATGGACATACTTTTCTATTCTTGTGTTACGTAAACTTCTGTTTATTAAATTCCTGTTTTTTTTTGTCTATTAGCATTTTTCCATCAAGGTAGGGTCGTACTTCTATGATTTTAAAGTTATGCAAAGTTATCGAATTGCTTGATGTATTCAGTTTTTTAATAAAAATCTACTTTTCAGAGAGCACATGTGACCCGGAGTTGGTATTGGAGGGCGTTGTGGCAGCGGGTGCGCTCGCGGCGGATGAGCGCTCCGCGGAAGCGTTGCTCGCAGCGGGCGGCGGCGACGCGCTCGTAGCGCTGCTGCGGCTGCGGCAAGCGGACGACGAGCACGTGCTGCAGACCGTGTACGCCTTCCGGCAGCTGGTGTCACACGCGCGCGCCGCGGACCATCTCGTCACGCGCACAGGTGACACTCACGCTCGCGCCGCTGCTGTGGCTGCGGCAGGCGGACGTCGAGCACGTGCTGCAGACCGTGTACGCCTTGCGGCAGCTGGTGTCACACGCGCGCGCCGCGGACCATCTCGTCACGCGCACAGGTGACACTCACGCTCGCGCCGCTGCTGTGGCTGCGGCAGGCGGACGACGAGCACGTGCTGCAGACCGTGTACGCCTTGCGGCAGCTGGTGTCACACGCGCACGCCGCGGACCATCTCGTCACGCGCACAGGTCACACTCACGCTCGCGCCGCTGCTGTGGCTGCGGCAGGCGGACGTCGAGCACGTGCTGCAGACCGTGTACGCCTTGCGGCAGCTGGTGTCACACGCGCGCGCCGCGGACCATCTCGTCACGCGCACAGGTGACACTCACGCTCGCGCCGCTGCTGTGGCTGCGGCAGGCGGACGACGAGCACGTGCTGCAGACCGTGTACGCCTTGTGGCAGCTGGTGTCACACGCGCACGCCGCGGACCATCTCGTCACGCGCACAGGTCACACTCACGCTCGCGCCGCTGCTGTGGCTGCGGCAGGCGGACGACGAGCACGTGCTGCAGACCGTGTACGCCTTGCGGCAGCTGGTGTCACACGCGCACGCCGCGGACCATCTCGTCACGCGCACAGGTGACACTCACGCTCGCGCCTTTGCTGTGGCTGCGGCAGGCGGACGACGAGCACGTGCTACAGACCGTGTACGCCTTGCGGCAGCTGGTGTCACACGCGCGCGCCGCGGACCATCTCGTCACGCGCACAGGTGACACTCACGCTCGCGCCGCTGCTGTGGCTGCGGCAGGCGGACGACGAGCACGTGCTGCAGACAGTGTACGCCTTCCAGCAGCTGGTATCACACGCGCGTACCGCGGACCATCTCGTCACGTGCACAGGTGACACGCTCGCGCCGCTGGTGCGGCTGCGGCAGGCGGACGACGATCGCGTGCTGCAGACCATCTCGTCACGCGTAAAGGTGACACTTACGCTTGCGGCGCTTCTGCGGCAAATGGACACAAAGCATGTGTTAAGCGAAACTTCTACATAGACGGGGGGTATTAGGATTGTGCTGTCACAAAAAAGCGTTACGGCCGCGTAGAGGGGGTACACGATATATCGCGCGGTGAGAGCGGCAGCGGCGGAGGGAGAGTAAGGTCTACTATGTGTCCTATCGCACATTTCTATGTTTTTTTCTCTCTTCAAACTGCAGTCACGTTATTGCACGAAGTCTCTTGTCCCTTTAACGCGATAAAGTTCGATTAACGGCAAAGTTTACTGGCCACATTTAAAAAAAAAACATCGCGGTAACTGTGGCAAGATAGTAGATAAATAATTTACTATCAATGCTATCATTATCTCAGCCCATTATTTTCGTGCGATCATGCCGGAATCGACACCAGTGAATACTGAAATGCAGATACGTGCAAACCACTTCACGTTTCGTTATTAAAAAAACTCGTAAAGTAATCAACCGTAGGAATTCAAACTCTTTCATAGGCATTTATTTTCAATAATGACCCGAAGGGCGAATATCTGCGCGTTCTTGTGATAGTGTAGCCCCATAATAGGCTAGTTGCCTATATTTTAAAAAGTGGTTAATAATATACCTTGATGTTTATTTAACCCCAAAAAAATATTATTTTATATAAAAAAGTACAATAGCAATATTTATTTTGTATTTTAAAAAAATTATTCAAATTTCCCTCGAAAACGCTCTAGACTGTCATGGCGTCTAGAATGACGTCACGCCGTGCAAAGCAAACAATACGCTGTACGCCGACTATTAAAATTATTTAGTTAAAAATGAATCCATCGTATTACAAGTACTGTATAGTGTCCTAGTATAAAAGGAGAAGCATAAAACGCCAGACAAATTATTTATATGCCATAAATGCGGAAAAAATGGTTAGAACTTGCAAGGAGGGATGGTACCTATTCATTGTTTATCAACAAATACAAGAATAATTTTGTGATGAACATTTTGATGTAAGTATTTTGCATAACATAATCAATGAAATCAAAATGTTATACAAGCCGGATAAATTATATTGCATTATATTGATAAAACAATGACAATAGGTTGAGGTTAGGTAAGTTGATTTAATTTTATATGATTTAGTCTATTTGAGAGTTCAGTATATTTATTCATAATAATAAACAAATCTTATTCTTGTTCTAGTTGCCAAATGATATGCTTATTTATGTCGAGTAGTTATGCGATTAATTTTTTATTTTGGTTAAAATATTATTATTTGCTTCGGTAAATCCCAATTCCATGGATTTATTAGGCTTCCTTTCAATACTGATCTGAAAACAAACTGATAAATTGTATCAAAGTAACAATAACATGAATGAGATATCAATGAAATGTATGGAAACTGCAACCACAAGTAATGTTTTGTACGTGGTGACGTCAGTCTTTCTGATTGGTGTTTGCCGTCACGTGATCTAATGCCTATTTTATTCGAATTTATTTTCTAAAAATAATAATAATCTTTAATTATTATGATAAATAGCTTTATTTTTTGTTATCTGTATATCATAATTCATATTTAGAAACTGTAACCCATTCGATTTATTGTTAGTTGACACAAGCCTATTGGGTTGAGTTGAGTCTCTTTGCTAACCACTTAAGTTTTCGGTCTTTTGCGAATTACTTAATTTTTGGAGTTTTTGAAGTTTAAAGTGGATCTTTAATAAGTTTTCCTTTTATTACAGAAGCACCTGCCTATCTCATCGACCTTATGCAAGACAAAAATGTGGAAATCAGAAAAATGTGCGATTCCTGCCTCGACATTATATCTCAAATGCAAAATGATTGGGCGGCGAGAGTAAAGGTAAGATTTATTATTATGTTTGGTCATCATCATCATCAGCCTATCAATGTCACCAGTGCTGGGGCACAGGCCTTCCCTATGGATGCAATAGTCTAGTTGACACATGTCAAATTGCGCTATACAAATGTTTATTTCTTGTAATGTTTGGTTCTTATAATGAGGAACCTAAATACATCGATTTCACTTCATAAAATTTGAAGATGACTGTAGTAATTTAATTTGAAAAATGGTTTTTTAATCTATGCTTTTTAAACACTCAAAACGCCGTGCACCATGATTGTGACGTCAACAAGTTAGTAAATGTGTAAGTAAACAACTAAACTAGTGCAGTCATTGAAGCATTATTGGTCCGAATTTTTTTACTGTGAACCGAATTGCATACAATTTTGGAATTAGGTTCATCTTACCCTTAACTTCAAAAGTGAAAATGATTTGAACTCCGCAACCACCCCCAGGGTGGTTGCCACCCCTTTCTCGGTGGTGAATTATTTTTTTTTTAAATAACCTCGGATATCGATAGAAAACCGAAAACCTTAAAAAAAATTTAAGCAAAAAATCATCTATAAAGTTTTTCCAAAACTTGAATACTTTTCAAGATATTGGCAATTGAAAATTCGAAAGTTTTTCCCGTTTTTCATCGGTTTTTTGCAAATGTCTCCAAAAATTTAAGTTTTATCGAAAATTTTATAAAGAACATAATTGTAGCAGGTAAAACAATGAACAATTTGGTTTTTTATTTTGCCTGAAATTTAATCGATGTGGTCAATACCATCTAGCGGCGAGCAGATGCATTTTATGCATTCTAATACAAAAGGGTTTTGTAGTGCTTGAAATAAGCTTTAAAATGAGCACTATTAAAAGTCTTTTGCACGTAAAATAAGTGAGCTGTATTGCAAATAAGGGGAGCATCTAATGTTTTTTCTTTTAAATCAATGGGTCATCATAAGTGCCATTTCCACCAAAATTAAAATTAATCGTATTCCACCTAGAATTAACTTTATTATGAAGGGTTTGATAGATAGTATCAGTTTGGCTGCTTCAGGACCCATATTTTTCAAAAAAGTCACGATTAAAAGAAAAACCAAAATTTCAAATTTTTAAAGAACCCACTTCTTTTTCATAATATCTCAAAAATGACGACAGATAGGTATAAAAGTGTACGATTTAAAAATTTTGGTATTTTTCTAAGAAACAAATAGGTTGTTTTGTTTTTTCTGTCAAAATAAAATTGACGGAGATATGATTGTTTAAAGAGCCCGTGGCAGCGCAATCACAGCCTCTCTTAAGCCCTTTAACCCTTCACCGTTTTAGAAAAAGGTTTTTTAATATATATTGCAATGAAGGATGTTGTAGCTCTCTTAATTACCTTTACAATGGTTTTACATAAATTGTGATAGCATGAAAATTGAAGGAGTTATGGTCCAAAAACTTATCATATTTTTTTCTACTTAGTAACTGAAAATTTCGGAGTGTGAATATTTGGAGCAATGTGAAAGTACGCAGTATAATAGAGACCCACAACTATTGTAATGTGTATATATATCTATACTTATAATAAATCTGTAGAGATGTCAATTCTGTACATGAAATATATTTTTAAAATAACTATCAGGGGGTGATTAGTGATCGATACTGATGCCAAAAATGCAATCAGTAAAATTTTTGTCTGTCTGTCTGTGTGTATGTTCCTTATAGAAACAAAAACTACTCGACGGATTTTAACGAAACTTGGTACAATTATTCCTCATACTCCTGGGCAGGTTATAGTATACTTTTCATCACGCTACAATCAATAGGAGCAGAGTAGTGAAGGGAAATGTTGGGAAAACGGGAGAAGTTACTCCATTTTTTAAGCTTCCGTCGCGTGTGCAGCCTTAATGGTTAAAGTTAAATAGAAATCATGTATGACGGAAATATTCTACATAAAATTGTCTAAAAAATATCCCGCAACAGCATATGTCTATCTTTTATGGTTGACTCACAATAACACGTGTAATTATATAAATAAAGTCATTCTTTATAGCACAAGCCTGAGAACAAAAACTATAGTTTACACTACAGGTCTACACCGAAGCGAAACGAGGGCGGGCCACTAGTACATAATATGGCTCATATATTTTGGGAACGTAGGCATGAATACATACCAACGTTCTTATATGTATATATAACACATTTCATCATTTCATCATCATCATCATCATCATCATTCATCCAACGGATTGGGGGTGGGTCATGAATGACGGTTTATTAAATCCACTTAAGTCTGTAGATCCACCCGCACCACAAGAATTGCAACTGCAAAAAAGGATGTGGAGCGTCTTGCGGATGCAGAAAAGTTGGTCTGTTTTGTAATAGTACCTGTGGAACGTGCAGTGGAGATAACTGCCAAAATAGCCCTCCAATTCAGCCAGAAGATGTTGAATGTGACAGCGACTCCGACATTGAGTCATGAATAATAATATTATATTTTAATAGTGTTAGGTTCAAAGACTTGTCGTGTTTCTAACTCCTTGTTTTAAAAGAATACATATTTATAAGTTTGTACTTTTTGTATCTGTGACTCTATGGTCATACGATTTGGCTGTATGGATTGCCTCCTTTACCTTTTTAAAAGAAAATGAAGTTTTCCCAATGCGTCAAATGGGAGGTAGACAGTATAAAAGGAGGTCTTTTGGCTGGCTCGGACATTCTTTGACGGAGTGTTGAACTGTACAGACGTGCACACGTTGTTGGAATAAAACAATACTTCAAAGTACCCGAAGCGTTTTACTTGCGACCATATAAGTGTTATTATACTTCAGAAGTGGGATAATCTGCGCCTAAAAACGTAAGTTGTTTTTTTTTATATGAACTTTATTATACAATAATGAAAACTATTTGTTCCTATGAGCGGCAGAGCATCCGTTGAAGCACTCGGTAAGGGCTACTCTCTTACAGTATTGTTGACGGTTGCTTTGTAGCTTTTGTGGTCAAATTAAGTTTTGTTTTAAAGCGGTTATTTTCTCAAAAAAGTGCAAATAAGTGTAGCTGCGACACGCGTACATGTGGTTGGGGCTACTCCCTGATAATGACGCGTGTTGATCAGTCTTAACGTTTGCATTGGGTTAATAATAGCTGGAACATTTTACTTTTTATATTAAATTAGTGAAAAGTACTTCAGTGAAGTTACGTTTTCAAGTTTCTTGTGCAAATTACTGGTGCTAATATCATCATATCTTCCTGACTACCTTCTGATAATGACGGATAATTTTATTCTTATAGACCCCACACATATAAAAACAAAAAATGTGGGTAGGTGTTAAACTAATCCTTTCACTTCATTGTTGGTTTTTAATTTTAACGCCATGTGGTAAAGACTACCTTCCGACTGCGGCATGGAGTATTAGTTTTTGGGCTCGTTAAGACTACACTTTGATGCACAAGAGACAAGTTAACCTAGTTGTTTTCTTCCATGCCAGAGCAGTTTTATTAAAAATGAAACAAAATATCAGGTTCACAATAATATCTCTTATATAACAATTTACTGAATTAGAATATAGGATAGCATCGGTTGACAGATTTTTTTTTCCCCTCTTTGTTAATACAAAAAAATGTCTCCGAGTTGCAGATCATGGACAAAAATGATATCCGGGAACAAGAGCGTAAACGCCGTCGATTAGAAACTCCTGATCGAGGTTCCCAGCCACCGAATGACAACAGGGCTGCTGGCCGTAGCGCCAGCCGTCCTCTCAACCGAAGCACCGCAATACGCAGCCGACAAAGTTCCCTGGAACGTGAGCGTGAACTAGAGAACCTACAAGCGCGCCTGAAATTGCTGGAAAAAGAAATGCAGAAAGAGCGCGATAGCAGATCTCATTCACGGTTCCATGAGCAAAGACACAACTATGCCTCTGGATCCCGTGGTCGTGACCGAAGTGAACATCGACATCAACATGAAAGCAGCCCGAACAAGCAGCAGCAGCAGCAGCATACAAGTAGACATCACAGGTCAGGTAGTCCTAATTTTACTGGTAAAGACATTGCAGAAATACTAAAATGTATCAAGGCTAGTTTGCCGTCTCATCCGCCTACTCCTAGCACCTCGTCTAATAAACATTTAGACTTTCAGAACATTATTCCAAGTTTTGATCCTTCGTCTAAAAATCAGCGTATAAACACATGGCTTAAAAAGGTGAACGAGTGTGCATCTGTGTACGGCTGGGACGACAAAACTACTACACATTTCGCAATGCCAAAGTTACAAGGTTTGGCCAAAATTTGGTACGAAAGCTTAGATTCTATTTTGTTTTCATGGAGTGAATGGCAAGAAAAATTATTGACAGCTTTCCCATCTGAACAAAATTATGGCCAAATCTTGGAAGAGATGCTTAGGAGAAAAAGCAAATTTAATGAACCCATCGAGGTGTATTATTATGAAAAATTGTCTCTTCTTAATCAATGTGAGATATCGGGTAAACGGGCAGTTGACTGCATCATCCACGGAATTAGTGACAAGACCATGAAGTCTAGCGCTTTGGCACTACGATGCTCAAATCCTGACCAATTATTACAATTTTTAATAAGTAACAAGGATTCCAATTTAACATTGGGTCATGCACAAAATAGATACAAGATTTGGCCTGATCAGTTTAACTCCGTTAGTAACGGTACAAAACAATATAGCAAACAATCTCAGGGGCCTTATTGTTTTAATTGTAAGGATAAAGGCCATCATTTTATGCAATGCCCAAAACCCTTAGTGAAATGCAATCATTGTAATAAAGTCGGTCACAATGCTGAAAGTTGCTTTAATAAACTAGACAATAAGGGTAATAAAACAAATGAAGTTCGGAAAACCATGTGTATCTCCAGTTTAAGTCAAAATTCTAAATTTATAAAAGTAGCTAAAATTAATAATTTAACAGCAGAAGCATTTATTGATTTTGGAAGTGAGGTCTCATTAGTGAAAGAGTCCTTTTTGTCTAATTTAGGTATGGACCATGATCATGTTGAATCAACAA